AGAAAGTGAATAAATCCAGTCGACAGCAATCAGCGCCAATACTATAGTGGAAATGGTGAATAACGACTAAAAGGCTCAAGATAGTGGCAAGCCGCAGAGGGCATTTTAAACTATCCGTCTGGCTCTACCTTTATGTGAATTTATGGAATAATTCGATTATTATTAACTGAGTAATTAAGAAAAAAAAGTTAACCCTTATAGCTAGGGAGCAACTGAGTTCACCCCTTAATTGCTCGTGCTTTCCTTTATATGTACCCCAATTTTCATCAAAATCGGACACAAAAAAATTTTTTGTCGAAAAATTTGGAAGGCTATACCCTTTCGATTTTTTTGATAAAATAAAAAACAATTTAAATTTGTATACGGATAGAAGGTCACATGTAGATCTCAAAAATATACTCAGTTTTTTTCTAACAGCAATATTAAAAAAGTTGTGGCAAAAATAAAAAATTTTTGATATCTCCTCGCTCATCTATTATCCTGATACAAAGTTCCGAATTCGAAAAGATCCAATTTTGTCTACAAAATTTTGGTATCAGGATAGCAGAAACGCGACAAGGTATTTGACTTATTTTTAAATGTGAATAACGACTAAACGACTCAAGATAGAGGCAAGCCGCAGAGGGCATTTTAAACTGTCCGTCTGGCTCTACCTTTATGTGAATTTATGGAATAATTCGATTATTATTAACTGAGTAATTAAGAAAAAAAAGTTAACCCTTATAGCTAGGGAGCAACTGAGTTCACCCCTTAATTACTCGTGCTTTCCTTTATATGTACCCCAATTTTCATCAAGATCGGACACAAAAAATTTTTTTGTCGAAAAATTTGGAAGGCTATACCCTTTCGATTTTTTTGATAAAATAAAAAACAATTTAAATTTGCATACGGATAGAAGGTCACATGTAGATCTCAAAAATATACTCAGTTTTTTTCTAACAGCAATATTAAAAAAGTTGTGGCAAAAATAAAAATTTTTGATATCTCCTCGCTCATCTATTATCCTGATACAAAGTTCCGAATTCGAAAAGATCCAATTTTGTCTACAAAATTTTGGTATCAGGATAGCAGAAACGCGACAAGGTATTTGACTTATTTTTAAATATGAATAACGACTAAACGACTCAAGATAGAGGCAAGCCGCAGAGGGCATTTTAAACTGTCCGTCTGGCTCTACCTTTATGTGAATTTATGGAATAATTCGATTATTATTAACTGAGTAATTAAGAAAAAAAAGTTAACCCTTATAGCTAGGGAGCAACTGAGTTCACCCCTTAATTACTCGTGCTTTCCTTTATATGTACCCCAATTTTCATCAAGATCGGACACAAAAAATTTTTTTGTCGAAAAATTTGGAAGGCTATACCCTTTCGATTTTTTTGATAAAATAAAAAACAATTTAAATTTGCATACGGATAGAAGGTCACATGTAGATCTCAAAAATATACTCAGTTTTTTTCTAACAGCAATATTAAAAAAGTTGTGGCAAAAATAAAATTTTTTGATATCTCCTCGCTCATCTATTATCCTGATACAAAGTTCCGAATTCGAAAAGATCCAATTTTGTCTACAAAATTTTGGTATCAGGATAGCAGAAACGCGACAAGGTATTTGACTTATTTTTAATGCGAGGACCCTCCATGGGGGTTCTGACCCCCCAAATCCCCCCTTGGCTACGCCACTGCGTATAGATAGAAAGCAACCGACTGCACTGCTATCCGCATACAAAAGCTGCCATTAAAATGAGCGTAAAATGCAACGATTTAAATATTTTTTCGCCCATTTAAAATACCTTCTCGCATTCCTGTTATTCTAATTCAAAATTCACTAATAAAATAAGCAGATTCACTTCTTTTCCGGGAAGTAGGCGGAGCATACAACATAGCTTTTCTCTTCCTCTTCCGTTTGGATTGATAAGATAACTGTAACAAAAGTTGGTTTGTTGCCTTTATTGACAATTTCTAGCCCTTCACCCAGAATTAATTGTAATAGTGGCTCACCTCTTGGATCAATGTTGGTGCTTCCTCAAATAGTGTAATGTGCATTCGCATCTCCATCCTATTATGAGCTTGAGTTTCTGCTCCTCGCAATGATTTTGCTTAGTATTGCTGGGGGACAGATCCTCTCCTCTCCCGGGAAGTAGGCAGAGCATACAACATAGCTCTTCTCTCTCTTCAGTTTGGATTGATAACATAGCTGTAATCAAAATTGTCGGTGCAAAACACCGGTATATTAACCCTGTGGCTGTAGATTTAGCCCTCGGGAGTTTTCGTTCCCTTTGTTGTATAACAGCTTACTTTGTTGCTGTTTTAGTCCCGTAACTTTTTCACAAACAAGCAAACGTTCCTGCAGAAGGGCTATATCCAAGCTTTCCGTATCGAACGTCCTACATATAATGACAGACGCTGCCTTAGCATGGTGGGCGTTCGCCTGTAGGACCTTTATACCCCGCTGTGGCTCGTTGAAGGCGCCGTGAGATCTATCCTTTGACCTTCCTCTACGTCCATTGGGGAAGCTGGATCGGACCTTTGTGGTCTTTTAAGAGGGCTCCCGCCACTTTTGGCAGAGGGCTCTTTGGCGGACTTTTTACCTTCTTTGATCTTAAGGACGTTCGTCCTTTGGGAGGCCGGCTTTGTGGAGCCTGGTATTTTTTTGGCCTGTTTTAACCTTGACATTTTGTTCCACCTGCTTCATTTTAGAGCCTTTTTGTACCGATTTTACAATGTTTCTCTCCTTTCCTTAAGGTTCCATTTTTTTGAGATGGAACTTTATTCGTTCCATCCCAAAGTATGGTCCAGCTTCTGGAGTTCTGTGTATGACCCTTCGTCCACGGAGATGGCCGAAGTTTGGCCTTTCTCCATTGGAGTTGGGAGATTGATTTTAAGGGTGTTGTTGCTGACCCTCAGTCTGTTAAGGACTCTTTGGGCATCTAGCCTCTTTCCACCCTCGTTTTGAGATGTCAATGTCCTAACAAGTCTCGAGGGTTGCACCCTCGCAGGGCCTAAGCGTGGGCACCACATCCTTCAACCATTGTGCACTAAGGCTGTGCACAACGTATCGTAGCCTGTGTGTGCATTTGGAAAAACGCACCTGTGGCCCTCCCTTGGGGATACCTTCGTAGGCACTTATATAATAGATTCTTCGGCAGTTTTTTACTGCTCCGTTTCCATGAGGTCCTCTTTGAAGGTTACTACTTCAATTTTGGCCTTCTTTTCCACTTTTCGATCTACAGGGGGAGTGTTGCCTTCTGATCTTGGCCTTTTTGTGGCATTTTTATCGACTTGGCTAGCCTCGGTAGTCGAAGTTTGAGGTGGCTTAACTTGGATCTGACAAATTTTCCTTGTTTGGCAGCAATGAAATCTTGGGCCAGATTTTTACCAAGTTGTTTAGCCTTACTCTCGTCCGACAGGATATGACAAAAAATCTGACTTCTGTGTCTGACATTAGGTCAATCTCAAACGATCAAATGCCATTATAATATATAGGCATGCCCTTGAGGCATCGGGAAAATAAAGAATGGATCCTAAGTACGTTCTGTCTGTCGTGAGAGGAGACATGGACTACTCTGCAAGAGTACGCCGATCTGGTGAGAAGCTTACATTTACTTCAGGGTGCCGTTATCAACCACTTTATAATATTAAGCCGGTTCAAAAGGATGTCACTGAAGGATGACCACAATTGAGCATCCTTATCAGGCCTAAGTGCAGTCCAAACTCAGATTTAGATCATTTGGCATTATCGTTTCAAGGAAGCTGGGGTCTAATAAATGAAATACAATTAACTTACTTTTATTTTATATAAAATAATAGAGAAATGTACATTATGTTACAGAGTACAAAATATAATTAAAAATATAAGTAGTAATAGGTACAATTGTTAATAACATATTTATCTGACGTATATACCACAATCGGGTAGTTAAAAGGAACTTATACTCAAGTTGCGATGTATCGATGACTGGCATTTGATATTTTTGCTTAATATCTTTAATGAAATCTCCACGTCAGTACAGTAACATTTTATTTAATAAGGCATTTGGTTGACCATTTTTAATAACAAAATATAATAGACAAGTATGTTCTAGGACAGGGGTCGGCAACCTGTGGCCCGTTTTGATGCGGCCCGCAATGCAAATGTTTATCAAGTATTTAACACAATAATAAACAAAATTCCACAATTAAAATATTACTTAATTTCGTTTTTTTAATTTTAACGCTAGAAAACATAGATTTCATGAATAGGTATAAAGTCTTAGTTAATTATGATACATTTTTAATATTGATCCAAATTTAAAAATATTTGTACCAAATTTTAAGCAACTTCTAAAAATGTCCGATGTCACGTTTTTGTCCACACGATAAGTCAAAAACTAAAAATGATATCAACTTGAAATTTTCAGGAAAATCAAGGTCTATAAGGGAACGAAGCCTATTAATTTTGAGAAAAATCTTAATCCTAAATCTAAAACGATATCAATTTGAAATATGCAGAAAAAATTAAGCTCTATAAGGGGACGAAGCCTATAAATTAAAATAAGAGGTTAGGGTGGTTAAAATTAAAAAAAAAATCAAATCAAAAGGCTATATCAACATGAAATTTTTAGTAAAAATCAAGCTCTATAAGGGGGCGAAGCCTAATGATTCTGAAAACAATCTTAATAAAAATGGGCTAAAATTAAAAAACAAAATCGTAACTCGGAAACAAAAACCGACATCAACTTGAAATCTTTAGGAAACTCAAGCTCTATAAGGGGATGAAGACTACTGATTCGGAAAAAATTTAGGTCAGTTAAACTGAGAAGAGTATAATAGTTTTAACTCTTCCGTGGCCATAGTTGACAACAAGATATCTAGTTATAATTTTTTTAAAACATTTCTTCGCTTGTTGATTCTTAAGGCCCATTCTTTTTAAATCTATAACAAAGGATTTATTTCCATTACTGTATGTCGTTGGAGATGTTTAAAAAATATTTTGTATTTTCTAAAATCAGCCAAAGGTAAGATCCTGATATTATTGCTTTATTTGGCTAGAAATCTGAAGGTTGCCGACTCCCGTTCTATGGTATCCATATGTAAAATTGAATGGGCTAGTCTTTCAAAGGTTAGGCGAGACTATTTACTAAACCTAAATCTTACAGTAGAATTTCAAGCGTTTCTTATAATTTTAGTAAGTAGACTTCCAACAAATGCGTTAAATAAATTAATAAATATCTTTGGTAATTTCAACTTATAACTATTCTTTCTATATAAGGTCATGCTGGGAAATGTAGGGCTTAATCAACAAAAGTCAGATCTTTTAAGAATACTTTTTATAATTTAAAAAATTAATAAGAGATTGACTGGCATGGTTATAGAAGATAATATTGTCAATGGTATGTACGGTCCACAAGTTAAATTAGCATAGTTATAGAATACAGAGTTCTGAAACAAAAGGGTCCCCTGTCTTTTTTTTTTAATATAAAATGAAAAACCTTAATTATTATTTAACAATTTTAAATTCCTAACCTAATTATTTACAAAATACTGTCAGATGGGACTTCATCCCTGTACTATCGAATATAAATAAAATCACTGATATTAGCCTAACTAAAATGTTTAATTTTTTACATTCAACACTACTGTCGATGTTTATACCCAATGCTTCTTCCATTGTTCATTTAAATGTTATAGAAATACTTTCCGCGAGGAAAGCGTCCCGCATTTTGGAATAGTGTATAATGTTCAGAGTTTAATAATTTTGTTGATCAGTCTTACCTCTTCAAGAATAACTCTGAAAATGTATTTAGTCCACCGATTCTACTTTTAAAACTGACAAATAAACTGAAATTGAGGAAGTTTGTAAGTCAGAAGATGACTTTTAAAAAATAAAAGTTTTGGCTATAAAAATGTTTGTATAAATATTTTTTCGCGATTATATTAAATATTATTCGAGATATTATTAATAATTTGATTTGTTAATGTACACTGTGGGACAATAAAGCTAAACAAAGAAGAATATATTGAAAAATAAAATATAAATTGCGTTATATTTTCTTTTTCATTTCAAGTCTGACATCCCATCAAATTATACTGGTATAAAGGGTTTAATAATTATAAAAATAAAACAATGCTATAAAGCGTCATGAGCTAATTCGAGTAATTTGTTTCTTCTAAACTCTTTTATTTTTTTTTGTAAGCCACCTTCTGATGAATATTCCTAAAATTATTATAAAGCATGTCCCAGAAAAAAGTGCCACCATTTTAACCACTGTTCGCAAATATTTTTTTAATCTAGAAACGTTATTAGAAATATTTTTGATAAAATTTATAGCTTTGATGTAAGTGTTTAAATTTTGGCATGTATTTCTTGGACACCGTATATTTTTGTCAGTTCTAATATCAACGGTTTGTTTGTTGAAACACAAATCTTGTGATACTTTAAAACGTTTAGTTATGCAATTGCTCCGTATTAATTAGGTTGCGTGTGGAATACCATAATGCCGAAACGATGCATATCAAATATCAGGTGTCAGTCAATCCCTAGGAGTGATATGTAGTTAGCATTGAGTCGTCGCTGCACCATTAGTAGGACACCCACTTACATAACCGTTTGCAGTTGTAATTACACCTATACCACTTTCAGATATGCTGGGAAAGTGATGATGCGTATCAACGTCTAGATCGTCGGAGTCTTGCGACTGAGGAGTGTATCCTTTCAATCGTTCAACTGCAGTTCTAAGTGGGGTGGTTTGATCGTCCTGGTTAGGAGATGGAGTATGTCGTGATGCTCTGGCTTCCACTCCAGCAGAACTATGGTAAAACGAGACGTCTGGAAAAATAGGACTAGCATCTTCTAATAATAGCTGACAGAGCTTGAGGAAGGCTGGTCTTGATGACGGTTTATGTTGCCAGCAATATCTCATTAAAGTATACAATTTGTCAGGACAATTTTCAGGCCTTTCCATGACCCCTCCATCTATTACGTACCGTAACACTTGATCATTCGATAGACCCTGGTACGGTTGTGATGCTAATGTAGCCATTTCCCACAATACAACTCCATAACTCCATACATCGCTACTACTTGTAAATACACCGTCTTTGAGACTCTCGGGTGCCATCCATCGCACGGGCAGTAAACCTTTAGTCCCTTTTCGATAATAATCAGTCTCATAAATGTCTCTGGTCATTCCAAAATCGCCTATTTTCACGACCAGATCTTCAGATACCATGCAGTTTCTAGCTGCCAAGTCTCTATGTACAAACTTCTTTGCCGACAGATATGCCATTCCATCAGAAATTTCAATAGCCATTTGTAGAATTTGTTTTAATGACGGCGGTTGTTTAACAAGATTGGGATTGTAATTTTCCATATCAGGTCTGTGTGACCGTAAATAGGATTTTAAATCTCCGTTGGCCATTAATTCCATTATGACTAACGTGGGCTGACCTTCAGACACTACACCCAATAATTTTACAACATGAGTGGTGTCAAATGCTTTCATCACGGATGCTTCATTCAGAAATTCCAGCCGTTCCCTGAAAATTTAAATAGAAAATTCATATTAAAACACCAATAAGAACCTGCCGATGTTAAAAATAAATAAGATTTAGCAACAAATGATTGGGTACCAGTAGACCTGTGTCAGTGGATAAAAGCCAGCCTAGAAGAAAGGATAATAACATCATTTCTAGGCGAAGATGCAGGGCCCTCAAGGTGAATACTATCACCCTTCCACTGGTCAGTTCGATTGGATAACTTATGAAAAGGCTAATACCTGCTGGATTTTATTTTTATTGCCTAGAGCATGACGATGACCTGGAGATCGTCGTAAGAGGTAACTTAGAGAAAGGAGGAACCCTCAAAAAACCAAAATAGTCTACTTCACAAAACGAAAGGAAGTGGCAGGACAACAGTTACCAGTACTGAAAAGAATGGAAGATTGTGTTTGTCCAGGAGGGAAAATACTTACTTGGGTGTCATCTTTGACCACAGGTTAATATGGAATCAACACTTTCCTATGGTATTTTGAGGCAAACATGCTTGAGTATCACGGGAGCAATGAGAACTACTCCAATAGCAGTTTTAACACCACAACAAATATTCAATCAAGGTGAAATCATATCCGTCACATACAGAATGTATAAAGGTTCATCACCCATAAGCAATATGCATGGGCGTGACTAATACAAGCTATGAGTTAGAAATTATCAAATAATGGGAATGCCTTCAAATTAAATACTCCCAAATATAGCTTTTAAAAACCATATAAAGTATAAGTAATCACTGGCAACAGATAAGAGAGCACATAATCAGTAAGCTCATGGCAAGGGGACCAAACGCACGCATGGCTACTGAGGCACTACAACTCGCAAGGCCTCAGATATCCACCATTGTTGGATTACTAACGGGGCATTGCTTGCTGAAACACCTCCATGTGATGGGATTACACAATGATCCCACTACGTATACGCATGGAAGATGAAGAAACCTCACACCATGTGATTTTCGAATGCGAAGCTCTTACTAGGCAAAGTTTCATTCTTTTCGGCCTAGAACCGGAAAGAAGGCCCCAGGAACTTATTAAAACTAACCAAAGACACAGGACTATTCCAAAAATAGTACCTGAATACGGGGAAAGCATGGGAATACAATAGACTCAAGAGGCCGTAGTGTTCTGGACCAAACCTAACCCTACCTGTTTATAACCAACAAAGATAAAGTATACCAGACGTGGAATAGAGGACTTCCTATTCCCGCAGACATCTGGTCTTGGCTCCAAAACCAATGATGAGCAGGAGTAGGTATATAAAGTGCCAAGTCAAAGACAAGAATATCACTGAGCTTAGGTAAACATGTGAGAGTATTCCAGGCAGAAATAACATCAATACATCACTGCGCAAAAAATATGTTAAAACATAAGGTAAAAGGAAAACCCATTGTCATATACTCACGGTCAAGCGCCATTACAAGTACTCAGTTCCAGGCAAAGCTTGTGTGTGACTGGTTAAAAGTTCTAATAGAGCTGGGTAGTCAAAGCAGACTAACCTTAGCCTGGGCACAAGGCCACAGGGACATAAGTGCAATGAAGAAGCTGATTTATTACCACGAGGAGCTTAGACCAAAACCCTTTCTATGGTGTTACAAAGACAGCCATCAGAACATGCACAAAGCAGTGGATGTTAAAAAAATCTCAGGAATGGTTGAACAATTCATTAGGACAGAGAGAGAGAGATCAGAGAGTTCTTTAAAGGATCATCGCCAAAACTCACCGAGCCACAAAAGAAAAAAAACTATTAACAGGGAATTGTAGGCTTAACAGACATAATACACAACATTTGCCTGTCAGATAAGACTTTGCGCCGATTTTGTCAGGAATAGATATAGTAGGTACACATATTGCGCTAATGTGGAGGTCTATCAAGATGGAGTCTTTTCACTTGGAGAAGATAAACCAATGGCAATTAGCTACACTGGAGACCTACTTCCTAGTCTATGGAGTCTACTAGAAAACACCAATTACCAAAGGACATCCCCAACAGATCTGAAAATGTCGAGGTAGACAAGGTTACATCGCCCTCAGTCATAACTAAATCTAACAGCTACTAAAAGTGCCCATATTTACTGATGTATTAACTTTGGGCTTTGTGTTGAATACTTCAGTTCCTACTATTTTGTCATCAGTAAACCAAGCAAAATCAGTCAATTAGAGGAATTACGAGAAATAGTAGATCTGATTGACTTCTAGAAACGCAATGACATAACAGGCTACATTGTTAAAATCTCTATACCCTTACTAGCCAATAAGAAGTGACAAGAAAGCAAGTAACTTTTGCCAAAACTATTTCAACATAGTCTTTACCTGTCTGTAGCATGTTCGTTTACTGTTTTAACTGCACATCTAATTTCTGTTTTGCCTTTAATGTCATGCGCAAGTCCTTCCCATACCATACCAAAGCTGCCTTGGCCTAATTCTTTGATTAACGTTATATTATTCCTTGGTACTTCCCAGTCATCTTTTATATAGACACTCGGAACATATTCTGGATTAGGATTGAGTATCAACACGTTCTTTTGTTGTTTTTTGTATAGGCATCCAAGAATGATCATAATCTAAAAAAGAAAAGTTTGAGTAATATCTAAACAATGCCATATTTGAGGTGGATATATGAGACATCAATCGATGCAATTTCTTCTGGATTTATCAAAAATAAAATAGACACATATTTATTAAAATTGTTATTAATAGCTACTTACTATGATGAACACACATAGAATCATGGATACTATCAGAGCAGTACTTGAAGAGGGTTCTTCAATATAGAAGTAAATTGGTTCGGACTTCTCATTTGATTTGGCTGATTTTGCAAAAACAGACAGACTATAGTTGCCAGAATTCAATTTGGATATCGTATAGAACAAAGTTTTATTTCTAGTAGTTACATTATGACATTCTGGCATCGGTTTCGCCTAAAAAAAATATAACTAAATTATCTGTAAATTTCTAAGAATTTGCTTTTCTTACTCTTGGTATATCCATTCTTTTATAAGAGATTGTATAAGCAAAAATATTTCCATTTGGATCTTTAGGTTGGTCCCACGCGATAGTTACACTATCTTTATTTTTGCTTACAATGTGCAAATTGCTTATTTTATCAGCTCCCTCTACAAATATTGAAATTATTTAATTAAACTAATTTTCGATGGATCCATTTTTAATAAGCTTGTATTGCTGATAAGCATCAGTAAATGCAGTTATACGGAGCTTAAAACATTCTAAATAACGTTGGCAATAAATTTTACTTAATCTTTCCAATACAATACTGTTAAAATGAAGTATGCATCTTATCAATAATTATCTTTATTACCTTTAGGTAGGGTTGTAAATGTAGTCCAAGCATCACGTTCGCTGCATTCTTCAGTTACAGTTTGATTTTCGGGTTCATATCGGCAGGTGTTCACGAAAATATCGTACGAAGTATAATGATGAAGCCCTTCTATGTAACATCGTGTGGTTTTAGCTGTTTTAATTTTAGATTTTTCCGAAAAAGATTCTGGAATTGTTGCATTTGAGTATATGACTGCTTCTCGCTTTGGCCTGGAAATAAGGTACAATAAATTAGATATAAAAAAACTTTGTTACACGCGTGCACAGGTTTTCCGCGGTATAGTAATAAATTCATAAAAAATATAATGTTGAAAACGTGACTTTGATATAAATTATCATAGCTGTAAAATATAAAATAATTTACGTTAGGTACCATTTTTGATTTTGAGGGAATCCCTTGTACGCGTGGAACGTTTATTACACTTTTTAACGAAATGTTAATGTTCAAAAAATGTATTTTTTTATCATACCTTTTTATGTAAACAATATTTGTAAGTTCATTTTCAAATTCGATTGCTTCGAGAGCCTCACTTTCATATGTCGCATTTAAAATAATTTTATTTGGGTCTTTGCAGTCACAATTATCCGTCGGATGGGGTTTAGGTATAGATCTATCAGTGTCTGATCTAGAATGCACTAAAAATATTTCGTAATAATACCACATTTCTATTAAATTAAATGATAATAATAAACACGCGCATATAATTTATACTTACAGTCATCATTGCAATAATTATGATCAGCCGACGTAGTAGCTCTCAAATAATTTCTAGTGACGTTAATTTTATAATGAGTAATCGGACCATTTGGTTTGGATGGTGGTAACCAAGTAATGTTTAATGAATCAGAAGATATGCTTTCAACTTTTATAATGATAGGCGCCCTTGGTCCTGAAATAAAATATTTAACATTGTAATGTAACAAAAAAAAAACCAAAATTTTTATATTTTTTAAATCGTGCATTCTTTCTTACTCGAGGGTTTTGTTTTGAAATACTGAATGTCACTTTGAGCCCCTTTTCTTTCTTGAGCAATTGTGTAAGTTTTTACATAAAATGCATACTGCGTCCACGGATTCAATTTTGGAATCGTATAACTGATTTCTGTATCATCCTCTTTGCTAGGAAGGTCGATTATGTTCCACCTAAATAATAAAGACACTTCAGGATATTAATTACTCTTATTGTAAATTATGAGATTTTCTTATTTTATACAGTTGTTTAAATAAATAAAACTGATCAAATAAATTAAAGATCATCGCAATTCCCTTTAAAACGGAACAAATTATTTTTTTTTCGCCGACATGTTTTTTAAGCATCCAAGAATCATGGCAAAAATATGTTTTAGGAGAGGATTGGGTTCTAGAATCCGCGTTTCTGGAAAACAACGTTCTTGTTCATTTAATATCTAAGGGGTAATAAATCAAGATCCGTATCGTGTTTTATTTAGTTTTTTTGGCTCTGGCCTTCCGAATCTAAGTTAATAGGATGAAAAGCATTCCTGCCAAATGAATTCAAATCATACCCAACTCAACCATGGCCTTCATCAGGCCTGCGGTGAGCCATAAGTTAGACATGAGCTACAATAGAACCATCTGGATTGATCTGGAAGGCGATGGGATCATCCCACTTATTTTCAACCTAACTTAAGCCGGATTATTGTCAGGTTCTAAGTTCGGTATTTGATTTCAGATATATCACAGACATATTTTAGTTTTGTATGTGAATGTAGAAAGAAATTAATTTTTAAAAATAAGAAATACCTTTTAAACAATCTATTATTGGTGTAAATGTGAATAGTCATAGGTTATCAACTTAACATCAAGACGGTACTGCGTTGACCACCAAGAGATTGTGGGTTGTCCTTTCGGAAAAGCAAAAAGTCTTATAAACCAGTATCTTATATTTATGGATATACTTTACATGTATTTATATCGGGTTGTAAATACGTTTTAAATACGTCCCTGTAGAGAGGCGAAACTAATTAAAATATTGTTACAACAACCTTGAGAAAATAGGAGTGCGCTGTAATACCTAATTACATAAATAATTTAACTTACTTATCCTGTCCACAAGCATCTTTTCCATCATACAGGGATATGTTCTTGAAAGGAGATTCTACATAAACGATAGTGTAAGCCAAGAGTCTTCGTTGGTCATCAAGATCGAAGGCTTTCCAGCGAAGAGAAACATTATATGATTCAATTTTTTCTATCGTAATATTTAGAGTTGTTATATTACCTAAAAATGTTGGTTATTCAGTTATTGAATATGCTAATCTACTATTAAATACTTACAAGCTACTTTGTCTCCATTGGAGTTCTTCGCTACTTCTAAATCGGTGAAATTATCTAACTTAGCAATCTCTTGCAATTTGACAATTTTATCGTAACACAGTTTGGGATTGAAATGGAAAAATAATTTGCCCTGATCGATTTGCATAGTTCGGTTAGTCCAATCCCACAGATCTTGTAGGTTTTGATTATCGAGTACAGTGAAGACGTACTTGTCCTTTTCTTTTCTCTCTCCTCTGATCCTTTTTAAACTTTTCAGGAAATTTAAAGAGAGTAAAGAGAACGATCTGACCACCTTTAAGTATCCGCTTATTTCCTCTATCATCTTTAGGTTTTCTTCCAGTTCTGTTATATTTGCTGTAAAATTAAAATATTATAATTTTCATAATGGGAAGGTATTGTGTATTCAATTTTTTAAATATAAAATATATTAAATCTTACCTCCTCCTCTTATTTGAATTTCTAAAGAACCATTAATATGAGTACATCCACTCAGCTGTCTTGACATTGCTATGCTATCGATATTCATACCTGGACAATTTTTTCGGCAATTTCCTACGACTAAAATTTTCATTGCCATAAAAAATGTATTCCATATTATTTAAAATACAATGTAATTTTGGGAGAAAAGTTAAGATGATCGGCGTATGGATTAAATTTTAAAACTTTCTGTTCAATCCAATCATACAATGCGTCCTCAGTATGACTTTAAAGGACAAAAGTATAGGTAGATATCTAGTTTGGGAAACATTAAAACAATGAACGATTTTTATTTATTTATTAAAAATACCTCGTTATTTAAACAATTGATGAGTTTTGGAGCAAAACCGAATAATATAAATCCACTTTTTGACAACGATTTTGTAACAATGCAAATCTTCAATAGATCAATAATAGACATATCTTTATTTAACTACTTTACAAAGTACAAGATGTTTGTACCAAGTCAAAATGAAAATAAAGATTATAAATTAGCTAAAATACATGCATTATACCTGAACATACACAAATCCGAATAAGGTAAAAACTAAAAAGTTTAAACATTTTTAAAAATTAACAGACAGTGAAATTTGATATATTTGACCGATGTTAATTTAAAAATGTAGAGATTTAAAGTGTATAGAAGATTATATACGCTTTTGCGTCAAGTAAGTCCAACGAAAGGAGTGTTCCTATAAATATGTTCCCATTATAGAGTAAAATGAAAATTTATATAGTTTTTTCTTTCTATTTCTATTAAACACATTTTTATCTAAACTTTGTCAATAAATAGCGAGAACTGTAATTTAATACTTTGACCTTTCAAGTGCACTTGTGTCTATATTAAAATTACCAAAACTACGGACGCTGACAATAATATAAAATTGAGGTGGCCAGTGTCAATTTTATAATTACACTATAGCATGAAGAAATAATCTGCTAAAAAGTTTACCTATAGTAGTCAGATCAGAAAATTTCAGGTGTGGGTGCCTATATTATTATTTACGGGGTACATAATATCATCATTTAAAAATATATTTTTTTGAATATGTAGAGTTATTTGCAATTGTTATGTAAATGGTAGAGTTATATATTTGAGTAAATTAACAGCAAGGTATATAACAAATATTTTTCAAGACCTATAAATTTGACTATTACAGGTCAACTATTCTAGCTTGGCCTCTGAGATTTGGATGCGCAAGTAGCCTAAAGCTTCGTCCCGTTCGGGAGCTCAGTTTAACCGGTGCATTCGTGGTGTTCACATCGCCTAAGTACAGTCCGCAGAGACAGTTTAAAACTTGTGATATTTTGTACGTTTTTAAAAGTGCTTAATTTTAAAATGCCTTTACAAGTAAAGTAAAAAATAAATTATTATTTGGACAAAGTCGTGAGATAATTAGCAATATATTGAATTTTATGCAAGCAGAGGTCTCGCTGGAGAAGTTACTATTCCTCTCGCAAAGGTAATTTTTTTAACTTCAAATTTTTTAATGGATTAGTTTTATGTTTCTATATAATATTGTTTTAAACCACATAGTTTTAAATAGATTTTGATACTAAATATTTTTATAGGTTCAAGAACATGTTGCAGCAGCAACGAGCGTTTCCAAACAAGTTGAAACGGGACATCCAACAAAATTTTCAACCCCTAATAAAAAGAGAATAAACAAAAAAGTTAAAACTCTTCTTGACGACGCAGATTTAGCAATTTTGCGAAGAACAATTGTTAATCACCACATAACAGAAAAGACGGATCCTACATTAAGGACAGTTCATAAAAAATGTGTAGAAGATAATGGGCTACCAAGGTTGTTACGAAATGTTGCGTAAAGAAATTCACAAAATTGGTTTTCGGTGGAGAAAATTTCAGAATAATCGTCGAATACTCATGGAACGTCAGCCCATTATACTGCTTAGAATTGAATTTCTTAGAAGGTTGTGTCAGTACCGAGAAAAAATCGTCATATACTATGATATACATGGACGAGACGTACATTCACTCTATAAGGGATGGCGCGATGAAACTGTAGAGGGCTTACAAATACCTATAGGCAAGGGTCTGCGTCTTACTATAGTGCACGCAGGTGGCGAAAATGGGTTTATTCCTAATGCCTATATTAGATGGAAATCAAACAGCAACGGTGGCGACTACCATCATGACATGAATTTCGAGAACTACAAAAAGTGGGTTTCGGAAAAACTCATTCCCAATTTGGAACCAAAAGGTGTTGTGGTAATTGACAATGCCCCATACCATAACAAACAAGTGGAAAAATCGCCAACGTCATTGTCAAGGAAAGCGGAAATGCAAGAATGGTTACGGCTTAGAAGTATACCTTTTGATAATAAAATGTTGAAACCACAACTTTAGATCTGAATCCCATTGAGTTGGTTTGGGCTGAAATGAAAGAGTATGTCTCAAAAAGGAACGTAAATTATAATTTTAACCATTTCATTCAGTACTGTGTTGATTTTTTTAAAGAATTCTCAGCCGACAAATGGAAATCTCGATGTGAGAGAACTAAACGGTTTGAAAAAGAATATATTTCAAAAGAACCAACAATAGATGCAGTTGTGGAAGAGTTTATTATTAGATTGGGCGAAAATGGAATTAAAAGAAAATGATGGGGTGCAAAACTTATTTGTTGAAAATAATAAATCTTATTTTGGCTTGTAAATTTTATGTGTAAATGTGTTTGTAAATACTTATTAAGTAATAAAAGTTTTACCTGTTTTAAACAAATAATTGTGTTATTTATTGTTTCGGCCTTTACTTGATGAAAATCCATTTAATTTTGAAAGAGTAAAACCAAATTTGGTAGATTTTCACACTTTTATTTTAAAAATAAAAATTTTTAAACAAACACTAACATGACATATGTTTCGAAGTACAACTTCTTTTTCAAATGTGACTATTTACAATTCGGTATCCAATATATATACAAAATAATTTAACAAAACAAAGTACTTAAGAAAACATCAATAACATTACAAAATAAACTAACTATTTAAAGTAAATAAGGGTACTTAGGTAATTATAATATCCATCAAATAACAATAAGATAGCCCATTACCGGGATTACTCAGCAAATGAAGGTCTTATTATGGGGAACCCATTAAGCCCGTTGCTTGCAGAAATATTTATGGATAATATAGAAAATAAAATTCATAGCAATAATTTAAGTAAACATTGTCTGTATTGGCATAGATATGTTGATGATATATTGACTGCTTTTACTGGTACTAGTAGACAGTTAAATTCTTTATTAGTTTTTATCAATACTATACACCCTAATATTAAATTTACTATGGAAACAGAGAAGGATAATTCAATTAATTTTTTAGACTTAAATATTATTAAAAATAATAAAGGCCATAGTTTTGGGATATTTCATAAGCCATCACATACGGATATTACAATAAATAATAGTTCATCTCATCCATACAAACAAAAGCTGGCAGCATACAACAGTATGATCCATAGATTAGTTAATATTCTCCTTACCAAAGAGAACTTCACAAAAGAATTAAATATCATTAAACAAATCGCAGTAAATAATAATTTTAATTCAAAGTTAGTAGACAACATTTTAGAGAAAAAACTTTTTAAACAGGCTATTCAACAAGTTTATCCCATAATTAAAGATCCAAATTGCAGATATAAGAGTCTTACATATATAGGACCTCCTAGTGAAAAGGTATCATCATATTTAAAAAACCAAAATATTAACGTAGCTTTTAAAACCAATAATACGCTTGGGAAGTATATTAAAAACAATAAGGGTAAAATTAATCCTAATAATAAATCGGGGGTATATAAATTAAATTGTGGTAGTTGTCCAAAATTGTATATTGGTCAAACAGGCCGTACTTTCAAAAAACGCTATTCCGAACATTATAATAGCTATACAAAAAACAAAAATAATTCTACTTACTCAAATCATATTTTAGCTGAAAATCATTCTTTTACAGACAACTTTGAAATTTTACATGTAGAAAATAAGAGCCTTAAATTAAACCATTTAGAAACACTTGAAATAAATAGATTTAAAAATTCAGATAACTTACTAAATGATCAATTAGATATTAATAATTCACCCTTATTAAACCTCTTTCCCAGTTTTCTGTGAGATAATCCCGGTAATGGGCTATCTTATTGTTATTTGATGGATATTATAATTACCTAAGTACCCTTATTTACTTTAAATAGTTAGTTTATTTTGTAATGTTATTGATGTTTTCTTAAGTACTTTGTTTTGTTAAATTATTTTGTATATATATTGGATACCGAATTGTAAATAGTCACATTTGAAAAAGAAGTTGTACTTCGAAACATATGTCATGTTAGTGTTTGTTTAAAAATTTTTATTTTTAAAATAAAAGTGTGAAAATCTACCAAATTTGGTTTTACTCTTTCAAAAATAATTGTGTTTAATTTGTCATTAATATTATGTATAAAGGACAAATATGTCTTTTCTAAACTGGTCACTTTTTCAGGGTCTACTTTACGTCAAACAGAATTATTAAATTTTTTTTAAAAATATTTTTTAAATATTGAAATATATCTTCCCCTATTTTACCATTGACACATTTACAAGCCTATTCAGGCACCTTTGATTATACTGACTTAATGCTTTCTGAAAGTGCTAAGATGGAAGCTTCTAAGTTTGTGTTTTATAAACAAAACTATTATTAATGCACTTAATAAATGAAAGCTGCTTTTCAGATTCTTTATTTTCACATTTCACATAAGGTTGATAAGGTGGTTATTTTGGAAACAGTCCTTTATTATTATTTTATTGCCCTAATTGCAGGTATTACATTTCTTGACCATACCGAGCAAAAAGGCCCACCCAAATTTAGGTTTTTCCAGGTAATCGACAGTGGATAGCCCCAAAGCGAACAAAAAATGCATGACAATTTTAAAAATGGAACCCTTATTTTTTTATATTATATGTATTATTTAGTTTTAGGAAAAAATATGAAAATAATTTAAAAAAATGCATAAAAAATGCGAATAGGAATAATTGTTGCACGAGCGACTTCCTGTCGTCTGTCTTTGTTGCACAGTGACTCTTTCTTCTGCGCATGTCAGAGGCCAAACTAGAGTGGTTGACCTGTTTATTTAAATCGTTATTCATCATTGACTTCTTGGAAATTTTTGATGTCAAGCTGAAAGTTAAGTGGAGAGAAAGATTTCAGCTTAGATTATAGAAAGTAATCTGAGGGTTCAAAATCTATAAATGTGACTATAATTGTATTAAAAATGTAAATGTGATAAATTATTAGATTATAGAAATCTATAATCTAAGGGTTAATCGATATTTTATTATCTTCTTGGAGATTACTAATGTCATGGAAAAACCAAACTCATAACAAGGGGGTAGGATTATAAGATGGTTACCTACCTAGGATTATGTTGTAATTATTTTCGGTTAATAGTGACAGTAGTATTGAAAAATGCAGTGTGGTTCAAGTTCAAAGTTTACACCTGTGAAACGTATAAAAAAGTGTGCGTTGTCAGTTAACGAAAAAATATTTGTAAGCAATGTTTATAATTGCCTAAGAATGCGTTTTCTGTTGACGATACTGTTGAAAAGACAAGTAATATGATGGGTGTAAACAAATCAACGATATATAAAGTTATTAGTGAATTAAAAAGTGGAGCAAAAAAGCAAAAAACTACTCTTTTACTCAAAGACGTAAACAATTGAAATTTCAAGCAGTTGTAGTATGTAGTGTCCAAAATAAAAAAGTAGATTTTTTTTATCTTGAGTATTGGAGGAGTTAAATTGGAAGTAGAAAATTTTTCTGATGCGATCCTATGTGGTATCAAATGAAATATATAGTACGTTCGTTTGCGTTACTTTTTAAAAAAGTGCTGCAAAATTAAAAAAAAAAATCTAAAAAAATGGCAAGCGTTTAGACTAAGGTGTAAACTGAACGAAAATGATCAAGAATGCCTTCAGTTAGATAGTTATTTTATACAATAAAATAAAGCACTACTCAACGCCTGGCCTAAATCTATCAACCTATCAACACAACTTATTTTAAAACAACTACGGTACGGAACAATATATTACGCAAATATGACTTGCACTTTTTATTTTTAATCCGTTAGTAAAAAATTTTGTTTTTTTTATAGCAAAAACGAAGTTTTTGTTTGCATTGTTTGTTCAATACATTTTTTAATAAAACCAAAAATTAAAATGCCCCCAAATGTTTTTGTAAACAAAACAAATGAGCTAGTACTTTTTACGCTTTTTTCCAAAAATCGTTTTTGATAGATTTATTCGGTTTTGCTCCAAGTATGTAGAAATGAAGGGTGAAATCGCATAACAGTATGTTTTACGTGACACATTGTGATATATAAATATTGTCGAAACAAAATAAATACCTGAACATTTGACACAAGTAGAATTAACTTCGGTATATTCCGAAGGGCATTCCATCAAACATTTTCCATTGTGAATTTTGAACGGTTTTAATGGATAGTAATTAGTGGTTTGCATTTCTATTGGTTTATGCATTGCATGCAAACACTGAGTGTGGTTAATGCACCGCCTTTCTAAATACTGAAAAATAAAGTCCATTTGACATCTAAAATTGATAAATAGTGTGGGTGTGTTCAGTATTATTTTTGAAATATCCCAAATTTTTTCAGGGAAAGCCTTTCAACTTTTACAATACAGAGTGTCCCAATGAAAAGTAGTCCATTTCCAGAGCATATAACTTTTAAACAAATCGTATAAACGTGCGGTTTTTGCTGCTGTGTTATTTTGCTATAAGTTTTGCTTCAGTGACACAGAAATTTTGTATTACCTATACAGGGTGTTTTTTAAAAATCTCTTTAAAATTCACCGTAACACAATTTTATCAAATGGAAACGGGCTACTTTTCATTGGGACACCCTGTTAAAATAAAAATGCATTATTTAAGGGTTATGAATAGAGCTAAAACGTTCAATATTGTTGCTTTATAACGTGGACGAAAAGTAACAGTATCTGCGTTATTTTTATAAAGTAACTCGAAATCGTAATAGACTGGGAGTTAACGATAGTTTTAAGTTAGTTATTTTATTAGGGCTACTATGAAGGCTAATATGTATAGATACAGTGCTTTCATTTCAAAACCAGCCAGTCGAAATAACTTTTGATTTTACATAAATTAAAAAAACAAAAACAAAAAACAAGTCAATTTTTATTGGACTACTTATTGTCATATAAAATTCATATCCAGAAATCCAACCCCCTGGAGACCGGAATCAGCTGCCTATTTTGTTTTTAAATAGCAATTATGGTCAAGTAACATATCATTTGAAAGGTAACTTTAAGGCGAATACGGCAATATGACTATTAATTTCATTACTTTTGATTTTAGCGCCTTTTAATAAAATAAAAAACTGTTACGTATTGTAAAGTGTGACACTTTATTTGAAAGCTAATTTTATAAGTAATTTAATGCACACTATAATAAGAAATAATTTAAAGAAACATGAACTTAAATTAATGAACAATCGAGCAGATATCTAACGTTAAGAACTGCAAACTTTAATCGCAATCAAGCAAAATAACAAATTAGCGTTCAAATGAAGTATCACAATTTACAATACGTAACACTAGATGGCACTAAAATCAAAAGTAGCGCAATTAATAGTCATATTGCTGAATTCTCCATAAAATTACCTCTCAAATTATGGGTTACTTGACAATATTTGTTATTAAAAAAATAGGGGTTGGATCTCTGACAATTCGTCGCCTTGCCAATAAAAGATGACTTGTTTTTGTTTATCTTAAATTTATGAAAATCAAAAGCTATTTCAACTGGCTGGTTTTAAAATGAAAGTACTGTATATAGTGTGTGCCATAAAGTTGGATTATACAGATTTTTTTAATATTATGTTTGGAAAATTTATGAAAATCAAAAGCTATTTGGACTGGCTAGTTTTAAAATGAAAGTACTATATACAGTGTGTGCCATAAAGTTGGATTCATATAGAATTTTTTTTTTAATATTACGATTTGAAACAAACGTCACAGGGCAATCACCTCTGCTTATTCAAAAACTCAAAATAGCCTATGTCAAAGTTGGCTACTGTTGAATTCGAATTAAAAAAAAAATACCGAATTTGACAGAAAACCAATGCAGTACCTAGCCAACTTTAATAGGGGCTATTTTAAGTTTTTAAAAAAGCAGAGGTGAATGCCCTACGACGTTTTTTGGAATCGTATTATTAACCAAATTTCGCATATATGGAACACACTGTATATACCACCTGATGTACCTAATCTTGAAAGTCTGACGTAGATATAGTGGTGGAAAATTCGAGAAAATATCTTATTGGAGTTACCAATAACCGAGCCAATAATCATGGGTAGATAAATAAATTATTTTCAAATATTTACTTGATTTTTTTTAAATCCTTTTATGTACTAAAATTGTTAAACGTTCTGGAAATGATTGTTCTGTTGTTAGAACACAAAAATGTGTTTTATTTCACTACCCTCGATTATTCAGTTCAATTTATCTGGACAAGATATTAATTTGTTCGTCACTACGAATGACATTCAAAAGTACTATTCGCTGAATTATTATTAACTTAAATTACATAAGCATCGATTATGATGATCTTGAGGATTGGTCAAGCGATGAGGGTATCTTATTGCATTAGTTACTTCAATAAATTATCTATTATTAACTACAATAATTGCAGTAGAATAATGATATTACAGCTATATTTTTTTAACTAGAAGCTGCAAACATATTTAAAAAAAAAATAGTTTGACACGTGTATGGCGGTAATGTAGGTCAGATGTAGTGATAAATGAAGCGCGCGTTGATGCATTAGTAGCGCACTACAACGTTTATTACAACTAACGATGCCGCCAGACATGTGTCAGACTATTTTTTTTCTAATGTGTAAGTTATTTTCTACAATTTACTACAAATTTTAACCTGATTACTATCAGTAATTAAATATATTTTTTCACGTTGTTATAGACCTGATAGACGTATGTGCCAAAGGAAATATCAGAGTACTTTTTTCAATGATTTTAATCATAAACCTCACTATTTTTTTTAGCTTTGATTTTCCGCCGATGCCTGTCACACCGCTAGACCTGCGTCAGACGTATACTTTCTGGATTAGAACAATCAGATATATTATATATAAACATTAGCTTTAATACTATTGATGATAGGCGGAGAGCTGAAGACGAATTTGGGGAAGGTGTTTTAGGTAACTTCAAATTATAAAAAACAATAAGTAAGAAATATTTTCGTTTATTAATCCGTTCGCTGGCGCAATAGGCACATTCCCGAAAAAGAAGGCAGTTGGCAAAGGGTGGTCGAACACTTGCAATTTGGCTCCTATTTTTTAGACTTTTAAGTTTTTTATTATTTCACATTCTTTAATTTTTAATACCGACACATATACGAAAATGTATGTCTTAAGACAAGAAAATTTTTTTAGCGTCTCCTGTAAAATCACTCTACTCTGACTTTGGTTTTGATAGTAAGCCAACGTGAAGAGGTAAAATAATTCGTCCTATAGACATTATCAGATCTTTAATAGTAGTTTACGAAATCATACAGGAAAAATAAAAAAATTCCATTAAACTTTCAATAATATCTAATAATAATAATAATCTTCTTATAATGCACCCCCTTACGAGTGTATTTTAACCCCAGAAACAGGGTAGGGACGGCCATTATTATTATTATTATTTTCTGTGGCGCTAATAAATAAATAGTAGAAATAAATAAATTAATATAAAGTATTGATAAAATATACCGCACATACCTCATAAAGACCAGGATTACAATCATTTCGGCATTCCTTTTGTTCATCAAATTTATAACTTATCTTAGGGCAAACTGTACATATTTTGGGGTCATCATTTCTACAAGCTAAACACGATTTATTGCAACACATTAGTTTATTGTTGCAAGACCAGTTCCCGCAACGGGTGGGACACTGGATTTGGCAGTGATTTTTATTCCAGCACAGGTGTTCTTTAATCGTTCCCATAGAGTCGCTTTTGACCCTTATTGGACACGGAAAGGTCTCGTTCCCTCTCTGAACACTAGCCGGGCACACTGGACACTCATTTTCCGGTTTGAGAGTTTTCACAACGTTTTTTTCCGGTTGGTCTTTAACTATCAGGCTCCAGTCGACCGATTTCACAAAACATAGAGATGGGTTTTTGTCGATATGTACCTGACCTTTTAATATGGTTGTGAGTGAATACAGTCCAATTTCCTGTAGGGTGGACATTTCGAATATCACAAGGGCCTTGTTGAGAAATGTGTTCGAACCACGGATCACGGATAAATTTGGAAACAGTTGACCTAAACTCCGAAGGCCATTTACTCTATATAATAACAAATAATCGGTTATTTCAATTAGTTTTGGGAAGTTGAACTGCGACAACTGCACTGGGTCAACGTTGTCGATGAGCAAGATTGAAAGGAATCCTTCAATCACTTCGCAGTGCTCTAATTTCTTGAATGATTCCAATGAATTTCTAATATCCATGCTTGAACAAACTGAAACAAAAAATAACTACAATAATAATTTATTCCCCCAAGTTTACAATTAATATATTTTTTTTACTTTTTCTGTTTTTCCAAATTAAGATGTTAAATAAATATATCCACTAAAGTCTTACGATTAGTACGTGGGAAAATACAATATTTTTTCTTTTCTTTTACAAAAAAAAGGAGTAATTATTACAATTGATAATCCTAAACTAAAATAGTAGTTTGTGCAACAAGAGTGGATGATAGTCATATTGCACGAAGATGAAATTTGAGCACGACGCCGTAGGCGGAGTGCTCAATCGTCTGAGTGCGATGTGAACAATCCACTCGAGTGGTACATTATATTTTTTCTACGACCCAGTAACGAACATTTACAAATTAATAGTATATTATTTAACGAGCGGTAATGGAGGTCATAACTCACGCAGATGAAGTTTGCGAGCCGCAGGCGACTGCTGTAATTCATCAAGTGAGTTATGACCATTACCGCAAGTTGAATAATATACTTTATCTACGACTATAACAATAAATAATAAGATACAAGTATTGAGAAAGAATTATATAATTGACTAGATGATAAAAACGTGCTTATATTTAATTTTGATACTAAAAAAATTACAAAACAAATTTTAGTTTTAATAAAATGTATATATCTTCTAAGATTTTGTCTAAATAAATTCTTAAAAAATTATAAATAAGGTTTTTCGATTATCCAGCAAAGGCTCGGTCCTGACTGGCCCGGATAATCGAAGTTCTACTGTATTTAAACTTTTTTTGCGGATAGATTTTTTTCATTTTTGAGTTAAGTAACATTAAAACTGTCTAAACTATGTATTGACAGAACCAGATAATTGTATTAAACGCGTTATACGTTTATACGCATGTGTACATAAAAGACTAAGTGCATTACAAGAATTATATTGGCAGCTAAAACAAGATAAATGCATTTATGTTAGGATTAAAAATTATTTTAATGTTACTTTGTGTATAAGAAAACACATGTTTTGGGTAAAGGCCGTCCTCTAAATGCAAATAAAATTAAAATCACAAAAGCGTACAAACGGTGTAGGCCCATTTCGGTTAATAAAAAACAAGACCTACTAAATTTGTGTAAAAGTGATGTTATACCTGTAGAATACCATCAATATTACAAATTCTTGCCTACCTCAAAAGAGGTAAAAGATTTAGTTCCAGATCCAGCAACTAAAGATTCTGATATAGAAGAACTTCTTTTATAAATGAAACAAAAACAGGTACTTTTTTCATTCAAAAGAAGACAAGTGCACAAAAAAAGAGTTTTTTCTGCTAAATACTTTGGTAGTTTTTAAGTTTTATGATAAATTTTTCTACTGTTTAATATTCAATTGTATTAAAATTCAGTTCCTAAGTAAAAATGGAGTTTTTCTTTTATACCTAATTTTCCAAGTTTTAAACATTAATGACTCAAAACTATAGAAATGTAACTTATCTTGTTTTGGCAGTAACCAGACGATTTGTAAGCTTATAAATGTGAGGAATAATATTTTGTATATAAATAAATATCGAGATATTTAATAATTTATGGAGATTTTGTGTAACTTGTACAGAAAAGTAAAAATAGAATATTTTTTACCAGCGTTTAAAGGAAGTTCGTTTCTAATACACCTGTATGGATTCGACTTATTGAAATAGCTCGAGATCGTCTGCCTACCGACATGAATTTTAAACAAACAATTCACAGGTTTGAACAGTTTGTTGATTATTTAATCAAACCCAGATTGATGAGGTTTCGTGTTTTTCGTCTATATGAGATATGGGCTGAGAGATCAGCTAATACTGTTCGGCCAACAAATTAACTATTGTTGTTTCATTACAAATGTAATTCAAATTATGATTCGCCTCATCCAATATTCTCCTATCAATGTGTTTTTAACAGCATTAAAAAATATGACATTCGATTGGAATATTGATGAATACTGTGCTAACACAAATACAAATGCAATTAAATTTGTTCAGAAAACCGTAGTAATAGACGAGAGAAAATATAAACGAATAAAATATATATTTCTGCAGCAAGTTAATAATATGGATCGGATCTGAAAAACATCACAGAAAAAGTAGCACCAAGCAAACTTTGATGAAAACTTTTTCGAATGCAATACCGTACCATAACAATGGGAGTTTCAGTTTAAGCAAAAATAATTGAGTAAAATTTATCACCAACTCATGAGTGTTAAAATGTCACTTTCCAGTTTTTAACAGTCCTCAAGATTATTCATTCTCAAGTAGGTACATTTTTCAATTTATCAGAAAACAGTAAAAATTTGCTATACTTGAAAATTGAACCTAGCAAATATGTTGAAAAGCAGTGGTCCCAAATGTGATCCCTGCGGATCTTCTGAGGAAATCATTATTGTATTTAATAAAATAATAACAAACACAGTTTTATACATTAATCATAAATCATAGAAAAGAACAGTAGAAAATGGCTGAAATTGCTTCAGGCTTGGATATTTTCCACTCCTGGTCTTCCATCAATGCCAACATAATATAAAAAATTACTAGTGAGATGGTTAGGCTAAACTAACAGTTTAAGACAGTGATAGAATGGAAAGGAAACAGAGAAAATGGAGAAAAAAAAAGAACAAAAATATATAATTGTGTTTGCAGCAGTTTTTATATAAAACATTTAGGCATTCTAAGGATAGATTTGAAACTAATATTCATTTTATGAATATATCAGTTCTAATGTTAGTTTTTTTTATGCAAGTATGGGGGGTCTTTATACTACCTAAATAATTTTTCACTGATAGGGGTCATGGGACATGCCATAGAAAGAATCCGTCTCTGTCAAGCCGAACATGGAGACATTTAAAAGATGTTATTTTTAAATTGTAGTGTAATCAAATCTCCAATACAATGTACTTTATTTTAACCAAATATTAATAAAAAATAATAATAAACTACAAAGTTGTTAACTATTTATATTGTGTTGTGACTTATGAACCACCCAGTACTAGTAAATCACTTAACATTTTTTAAATTCGAAGATATAATGTCTGGGCTTATACTAGTTCGTAACGTGCATAGGACATTTTTAATTTTAAAGTAATATTGTAACGTTGTAACTAATTCATATCTCATTTACTTATACACTAATTTATATTGACAATATTTTTATCTGAACAGAACGATCTCTTAATTAAAACAAAATTTATAACGCCAAACCTACACATGTTGCGTTTCTCGAATGTTCGCGCATTTACCAGAATCGTTGTTTCGAGATGCTTCGTCACGGGTCCAGATTTTCTAGAATTAAATAGTGGAAGTACCAAAGGCACTAAGTACCAATTTCATAAATATAAGATAATTAAGAAAACAATTTTATTAGGTGTATTTTTTACCATTTATTTGAATTTACATGAGCAGAAAATTTAGATTTTGACACTTAGTGCCTTTGGTACTTCTACTCTTTAATTCGACTAGGTTGTCCAGAGGTGTAACATGAGAAGTTTCGGAGGTCGACTTATTTCATCGAATATTGTTGGAAAGGGGAAAATGAGGACTGTAAAACTCCCAAATAAGACAGAGAAAACTTTAATGGATTTAAGCATGACAAGCTGGTCAAAAATGGCTCGCATGGCAATTTGTTCGGAATTCAATTTTGAGTCTAGAGTAAGACCTATATTTTCTGCATTGCTGTGAGGTTTTTAAATTTTTTTTTTATATTTGATTTTGTGAATGGAGAACCTTTCAACAATATTGTGTGAAAATTTAAGATGAATCGGAACAAAATTAACGAAGATACCGCGGTTTGAGCAACTGCGCCTCATACATAACTCAGTGCATCAGAAAACACCTGCCCGGCCGCATATTGGTAAACCACCGACACGTTAGGAACTCGGAAAAGTTCGATGCCGCGAATGACAAACTCGTAAAATCCCGACGTGCTAGAACTAATACGTCGGAGATTTATGAAACAGGAAATAAAAAATGTTTGTTTAATGGACATTAATCATCACTCATCAGAGAAAATTTTAGTTTTGTTTCCTTTTTGTATTGCCCATAGTCTGAATAAAAGAGGATTGCAGTAAATGTGGGGATGTAACGTCACATTCCATAGACATACTTTGCAAAATAAGTTTCTATAATATAAATAAGGCCACGGCATATAAAATGGTATATACGCACTTTGTGGATGAAATTTTGAATTAAAAGTTATATTTACAAAAAATAAAAATAAACCTTATGCTTCTGACAAAATTGTTGCACTTTAACATTGAACGAATTAAATTTAACCAATAAATAACAAGAATTATATGTTGTTAATGGGATTAAACTTTTTTTAATCTCTTGGCATTAAAAGTAACACTTCAGTACCTAAAATAAAAAACTACTGGTATCATTATCATTCTCTTTTCTGAAATATTTTATTATAGAGTCTATTAAGTTTTCTATTGCTATATCCATTTTCCAAAATTAACTTTCCACCTATTTAACATGATCAATGCATTTTCTCCAATGTTCTTCATTTACCCCTGAAACTGCATTCAAAAACAAATTTCGTACATCAGGTAATTAAAAATAAAGTTATGAAAGCACCTCATTCGTTGGCGACGTATGTTAAAAAAAATGTGGGATTCGGAAGAAATCATTAAAAAAAATTAAACTTAATCAAAAAAGCAGTACTTAGGTACATTAATTTTCGATAATCCTCTATTTACGTCGCCGTATGTTGCTCATGCGTCGGCATACTTGCGTTATCAATTTATTTTTTGAATTTTGGGGACATGGAAAATCGGTGTTTCACGAAAAAAATACGTCAAAACATTCTAGAGTTATAGAATATTTTTGTGAATTTCCAAACATTTTCCTTACCCTCAAAATTATACTTCGTTATTCTAGTGAGCATAAGAATGGCGCATGCGTAATCTGCGACAACGTAAACTGCAGGTTTAGCCCATTTCCTTTTACTTTAAAAAAAGTTAATTTAAAATTTTAAAAATATGTATGCGACAATAATTTCT